CTCTTTCACAAATCACATACCAGCTTCATAAATTCAAACTGCCTGTTCTTATTCCAGGAATTAACTGATTGAGAGCAACTGGGAGGGAGTAGTATACTTTTGCCAGTGTTGGGGACTAGGCAGGTAGACAGGGTCAGAGAGTTTGAAAGTGGGTACTGTGGGTACTGTAAAGGCAAAGAATTCTTCATCTTCTGCATTCTGGTGTGGGTGTTTATATAGCTAAGCCAATGCCAAGAAGAATAGGTACAAGTAGGAAACTCCTTTTTTTTAAGAGTCTGTGGAGTTTTTGTGTTAAAGGATCATTTCAGTGAGGCTGAGGGAATACCAGAGTTTGAACTATGTGCTTAGAATAAACATCAACTAGTGAAAGTTATGAAAACATTCTATTTTTGCAGCACGGAAAAGTTAATTCAAGCTGTAGAAGAAGATATTGAACGTGAAAAGGTTGTAGCAGATGACATTATAAAGGACATGTCACAGGAAGATCAAGCTAAATATATGGAGATGAAGGCGGCAAACGAAAAACTCTCCCAGGTTGGTTTGTTTCGTTGTACTTACCTAAAACATTTCTCAATCTGGCTCCGTTGTTCCAGATACAATTTAGGTATTAAAGAGCTTGAGAACAGAGTAATACAATAAAAAAATCTTGTTGGTATCTCAATCAGTTGTAGAAGTGCCTGAAAATAAACAGAGCAATCGACTAAAACCAAATACTTTGTCTTTTTGTGTTTCTTGTTTTAAGAACAAATTATGTTCACCATTGTCCTTTTAAATTTAGGGACTGACATGCAGGTTTTAAAAGCCACTGTAATGCTTAGATGTTTCATCATGTGTAAATAGCAAGCAAAAGGGAAAAACAACCTCAGCAATTTTTTAAGTTCACTTGAGTAAGTTTTCTTCCTGTGTACAAAAGTGAATCTGATTAGGTTTTTCTGTTCTTGTTGTATGGTGAACGTATCAGAAAAATGAACTGGGCTTTGTAAAATCTTTGTGACTTCACTAATCCTAATGTTAAGTGTAGTAAGTGCAGTAATATTTCTAGGTTCTCTGGGATCATCTAGCTTCAGGCATACAGTATTAGAAAGTTTCTCTGTATTGTCTGTACAGAGAGATAGGCATCTTTTGAGTCCGCTGCTTCCCAGCTGTCTTAGGATGAGCTGAATCACTAGTCAGGGCCTACCTGTCTCTTTCTGGACTATGAAGAAACTGTGGTGGCTAGTTCAGATTTTAAAATCTGACTTTAAACTTCTGAAGTAGAAATGATAAATTCCACCCTCAGTACTGATTTTAAGAAAAGTAGTTGAAAAAGGGCAAGCAATTTTTTTGGTTATAGCCCAGCTGCAAATAGCAATGGTGAGAGTTTTTTGGAAAAGTTGCATGCTAAAAGTAAGTGGATATTATATCTGAGTTACTTGGAGAAGATGGACAGTCTTGTCTTGTAACTTTTGAAGAGCAGCAATGAGATGTTTTACAACATTTTATAACTACTAAGCTGTGGAGCAAAAAATTAATCTCATCAAATAGCAATTTTACCTGAATTTTGCATTTTTTTTTCCTCTTTAGGAACTGGTTGTTCAGCAGCAGGAATTGGACGCACTAAATGTAAAGGAGGAGACTCTAAGAGCTGTATGTGTGATAATAAGTGGTTTCTGTAAGAATCTTTGCTGATCTCTAGTGCTAAAATAATACAGTAGGAAAATACCTATAATCTTATCTCTTTAAGTTTTCACATACCATAGAGTCATGCCCTAGAATGAGAATGCAAAGTTGCCTCTCTGTGTTCCACCAACAATTTCTAATCAGCTTTGGGTAAAACTTGTTTTTGCTAAATGCCAAGTACAAAATTTTGATAGCAATAGTGAGGTTTCCTAGCCTTAGTTACTCAGGTGGTTTCAAATGTTTTGTGTGACATTTGATTGATTTGGAACTACTCTCTGAAGATAAACATGAAATTATCATTCACGTTATGTGAGCCAACGCGGGCAGGATGCAGTGTGGTATATGTGTTTTTCGACACCCCAGCTGCAAGTCACTTGAGCGTGTTTACTATCCCCCTCTGCAATCTTCTGTTATTTTCCCACAACATGCTTCTTAAGGATTTGTAAGACCTAATTTTTCAAGGTTTTTTGACTTTCAGGATGTGTGAGAATGAATTTCTTGTTACACATTCCATTTCAAAAGCAACTGACATTTGAAGGACAAAGCGGTACCTGCTAAGATATATTTTATCCCACATGCATACATAAATACACACTTCTACTACACTGTCATGTTGATAGATTGAGGAGAATTTTGGGCCTTTTGAGGACAAAATAAGCTGAAACATATTAATGTCTATATTCAGAAAGTATAATTTTCAAATAATACTAGAATACTTTTGAATACTGTGTATGTTTTTTGATCCCCTAGAGATGATGAAATTGTAAATCTACTCAGAAAATTGGACTGAGGATGAACTCATACAGCAGCGAATAGCTGACTGAGATATTCCATTCCAGAAAACGTAATCTTGAGAATATAAAGTTTATTGTTTATACTGTCTCTGTACTGGGTAACAAATAAGCTTTACTTGCAATGTATAGACAAGTGTTGGTTAACTAAAGCGTAATTTCTGCAATGCTCTCTTGATATCTGAAAATAGCTACTAGGTGTTTGCTTGTCCCAACAGGAAATAGCACACTCCCAGGTGAAACAGGAGGCTGTGCAGCTGTATGAAAAGCTCCATGAGCTGGAGGAATGTCGGGATCAAATGATTGCTGAGGATAAGAACATGGAATCTCCACAGGAGGAAAGAGAGAGATTACTAAAGCAGGCAAAACCATAAAATGTTATCATGTAAAAGATTCTCTGAGTCAGTATTTTAGGGGATGATAATGTTTGAAAATACTTGGGTTTGAATCTTGCCTTTATTTAAGCAGCACAAATCATCTGAAATTAAGAACAGTTAATGCAGTGCATGGATGGGATGTTCCAAGTTCAGCCAAAACAAAATTGGTACAGTCAGCTTTTGAGCTGTTCCAATTCATCAATCATGTTGGTGTGGGAAAACTGATCCTATTGAACAGTTCTATAACATAACCCTAGACAGTATCCTTGTGAGGTACTGAGCAGATGTACTAATGTGACAGCAAGCTTGTGGTTTCATACGCTGAGTTTCTATTCCCTATGTACTGAACTAAGAAATCTTTTTTGATTTACCTTTTTTCATTTGTAGATTTTATTTCATATGTTAAGTTGTTATACTTTTTTGTAGGTTAAAGATGATAGTCAAGAAATAGCAAGCATGGAAAGACAGTGAGTAATCCCATGATACCGTTGCTACAAATTACATTTAGACCCTAAAGACAGTTGTATTCAATCTTATATTTCTATGGATTTTTAGAACATCACCACATTTTTGAGCCTCTGCTGGTGTTAGCCTTCTGCAGAGAACAGAATATATTCTTCTGTCTCAGCTAAACAACTTTTATAGTGATAGGACATTTGGATCTGCATAAGATACTTCCTGTCCTTATGAACATGCCTTGAAAATATAAACTGGTAATAGCACTGATATAAACTTCTTAAAGTCTGAAGAAGACATTCATCCGTGAAGAGCTACTCCTCTGGGACATCTGCAGCCACATTTCAAAGAGATTGTTTATTAGGTGGTCTTACAGCCTAAGAGTTACAGAGTTGCTTATAGAAAGTTCAGTTCTAAAGAGTAACAGGGCATTGCTTCTTGATTCTTGGATACCGGACCTTTCTGAAGATTTGCCAGAAACTCTGGCAAATGTTATAATAATTAGTAATGTATTGTGGGGGAGGGGGGATAAGACAGTAGAATATTTTCGTGATTTTGAGTCTTTTGATTTCTCTCTCTTTACAGAAGAACTGAGATAATTTCTGAAATCTCCTAGAAACAACTTTAAATTATTTTAAGCACTATTTCCAGCTCTAATCATTGGTTAATTTTTAATGCATTGACACCTTTGATTGGATAATAAGTTGCTTAACAGAATTTTTGAAAAGAATAGCAGAGAATGATATTTAGAATTTACATAGAAATGTTTTTAAGGTAATTTCTTTTCTCACTTCAATTGGTTATGTAGTACAATGTTTCACTTGGCAATTTCTTAATGGATTTTAGTGAACAGGTAGGTAATTTTTAAGTAATACAGTTCCTTGTTGCAGTTTACCAATTATGTTGTACCTTTGCAAAGCTGTATAGCAGCCAGCAGAGGGACCAGTCGAGTAAGTTAAGAACAAAAAATGTTTTTAATTAAAAAAAGCAGCAGTACGTATGTTTAATAGATATAGGGACTAAAGTCACAGGTGCTTTATATCTATATACCTTTTATAATAAAAGGAATCCTCCTGATACTCATTTGGTTTTGATAAACTTAGGTTTGCTATTTTTATTCTTTATTTTTCTCTCTATTTTTGCCCCCAAAAATGAGTATTTTACAACACATTTTTAACCTTGAGTTTCATTACCTGTTTGTCAGGTTGGCAGAAGTAAAAGAAAAAACAAACCATTTCAAAAAGGTCATTCAACGACTTGATATGGATCTGGAGAATCATCAAGGTAATATGACTAGAGTTCTAGCAGAATATACAGAGCTGCATCTATTTATATTATAACACATACTGTTATGGACATCAGTTGCTTGAAACTTTTAGACTTCTGCAGGTGTCCATTATTCACCATCAGAAGAAGATTTTGTGTCTAGGGGTGCAGCCTTCTCTTTTCAGATGTGAGAAATGGGGAGTACCCACCTTTAGTGGTGCATTCATCAAGTTCATATTGAATACTAAAACTACCATATAACATAATATTACAGCTTTTTGGTTTTCTGTCTAAATTTATTTTTAGGACTACTTGAGGAATAGAAGTTTCTTTTACTGGCAGCATTGCAGAACCAGCTCAGCTTTAGAAAAGCTTTTATTTTTTTTACCATCTATGTTATTTGATACGCTGTCAGTGCATGTGGAATTGAGAATGTTTCATAATAATGTGTAAAGAAGTCAGAATTCAGTACTGTTTTTGTCTGTCTTTGGAACTTCTTGTTGATCTTTGCGAGAAGAGTTTGTGAGCTGCCTAGGAATGACATTATGTTAGAAATTTAACTCCAGCAACACCTGCTGTAATACATTAGGCTAGGTTAGGTTGGAATTTGTCCTAGCACTGGAAGTTACAGTTCTGGAGGAAGTAGCTTAGTTTGAGCATAGGTCCTCCACAGCTGTGGAAGATTCTCCTTGAAACGGAAATTCATCCCATGGAAAACCTTCTAATTATAAGGAATCTTGTTTAGATAGAAGTTACCTAAATATGCGCATACATTCTGGAAAACTTTGTGTCAAGTTGTTTAAATTCTGTAGGACTGATGAATTAATGAGTTTGTGTCCTTTTTACTTAGTACCTTTTCTTGAGTGATCAGTGTAAAATTTAGCTGTAAATTTCTTCAAGGTGAAAAATATTTCTAAAATTGACACTAAACAAGTGTTTGATACATGTTTCTCATCTTTTGTGTTACAAAATACTTTGTATTTCTCCAGATATTTCACTATTTTTGTGCAAATTATTAAGACTGTTTTATTAGCTTTCTTGTTTCCAGAGAGTATCTTTGCCAACTTTACTGTTCTGCTTTAATTTTTCCTTTTTTTTTCGGCTTGCAACTCTTTTTTTGTATCTTTGGAGAAATGCAGAAGGTAAGAAGTGAGTAGCTTTTCACATTTTATAGTTAGGTTTATGCACACCGTCATTTGTTGCTGAACTGTGTGTCTTTCACTGTTTTAGAAAAGGACCTCTGTTGAAGAAGGGATTTAATGCATGTGTAAGAGAAAGCACATGCTCTCTGTTAACATATCAGGAACAGTCAGGATATTCAGAATAAAGTTACCTTGTGGTATAATATAGAGGGAATTATACCTGTTGGTATAACATACAGGAAATAAAGAAGATATTCATAAGGTGTAACTTTTAGACACAGAAATCTAAACTCCCAACGCCTACTTCTCTAGTGAATGCAGAGAGAATCCCAGAGCACCATTCATACTTCTGCTCTAAATCAGCATCTTGGTGTGTCCTTGAGATTCCTGTCCTTCCTCCCTCCCCAGTCAGCTTACTTTTGGCTCAGTATTTAAACTGTTTGTTACAAAGCATTCCCAAAACTTCAGCTCCTGAAGTTTTTTAGTTAAATTTAAGGTAAAATAACCAGTTTAAAAAAAATTACAAGTAAGGATTTTTTAATGTTTCAGGATAGATATTTCAGTGCTAGGAACATTTTTTAGCAGGAAAACCAAAATAAATAGATCAAAAAAAAAAAACTATTTTTAGTTTTCACTTAAGAAAATCTAAATAAGTAAAGAATTCAGCCATGTATTGTATGTTCAATATTAACAGTTACCTGTAACTGATTAGTCAAAATCATCATTAACTCGTAATGGAATAGACTTAATTGCATGAGAGTCTAAGATATTGATGTAATAATGACATATTTTAATGAAAACTTATCTGTGAAGGCATTTTAAAGCTTGTGGTCTGTATTTAAAATATTTTTTTCTTTAAACACTTGGCAGATCATGTAGCTCTCTGTTTCATGGTTCACTATAACTAGACTTTTTAAGGGTAGAACAGACTGAGTTATTAGGTATCTTGCCTTATGAAATGAGAGTCCGGTAAGGAACAAAGCCACAGCTCCAAGGAAGCTGAAGCAGAATCACAGTCCCTTAGGGGCCCATGGGTGTTCTTGCTGTTTGTATATGCTAGATAAAAAGGAAATTATTGGGGTGTACAAGTAAAAAGACCTGGAGAAATTTGCTTGTACAGTTGTATCTGTATCTGCTTAATTTCTTTCTTTCTGTTCTTTAAAGTTAAAAGATTATGCTGAAAATTAATCGATGACCAAGACTCAAACAATTAAAGTTTAGATGTTTGAAACTTAAAATTATTCTTAGTAGCTGAATTGTCTCATCTTCTTAAAACTTGTGACAAATATATCAGGTCCCCCTCTTTACTAATATGTTTTAATTAAGAGCTATTTATAGTCAGCAATTGGATTTAAAGATGGAGTGAATTATGTATTGTATGGTATTCATTACTCCTAATACCACTATAAAGAATGTGTATGGAAATGTTCTTTTAAACTTAATTGTAGAAAGCTTTCTGTGCATTTTGTTTTCCATTGCTTATACAGTTTTCCTGTTTATTTCCCTGAGGTTGTCATGCTGTTGCTTACTAGCTGCATATTCTTATGAAAGTCCATGCTAACATGTGGAATTCCGTTAAAATGGACCTTATGTTAAACAGAGCTGCAGAAAGTTTTAACTAACCATGGTGCTCAAATACACAAAAGCATTTGCTCTCTGTTAATGAAATTCACCTGACTTCAGGAAAATCCTATGAACTTCCTTTGGTCAAATCAAGTATTTATCCCACTCTTATTTATTAAAAAAATATAATCTTTAAAAGGTTCTAAAAATTGCATTGGGTCTGATTTATTGAGCTAATCATCCTCTTTTTTTTGGTATGAAAGTGTTTATGACCTAGTCAATTGAAAGGACTACATTAAATGACATGGGATGAGTCCTGTAGTTTCTAGGCGTGTAGAATTTTTATTTTTAAAACTGACATTTTGCCTACCTAAAGGAATCCAGGACTGAGACAATATAAAGTCAAATCAATGTTACATCTCTTGCAGGAGAGGAGAATTGGAAATACAAGGAGCTAAAGAAGAGGGAAGAAAGCATGGACAGTAAGTTGTCTAATATACTTTAATTAGGCCTAATTCCACTAAAATACAGGTATTCTTGTATTGTTAACACTCAGTTAATTTAGAGCTGAAAAGAATTCATGTCCTGATCTTTGCATAAAGCTTCTGTGATCTACCTTAGCACAAGATAATTGGTATCAGGACTTTTAGGACAGTCGCAAATTTTTGGAGCATCATTCAAGGCTTTTCATCAAACATTAAAGGTCTTAGGAACAGCTTTATTTTATGAAAGCAAGGCTGAAATTAATTTTTAAATTAATTTAAATAAAAGATAAATAAATCAGCTGTTCAGGTCTGAATAAAAGCAACTTTTTAATTTTGAACTTCAAAAGGGACATGTAGTTCTTTAAAATTAAGACTTCTCATATCTGTTTATTCAAGAGGAATGTTACTAGAGCTTTCTTCCATATTAGAAGATTCTGATGTTGTAGAGACCTCAGCAGCAACTTATAGAAGATGAAAACAGAACTGTTTTTAAAATATACCCTATTTCTAGTACACTAAAGTGAGCAGCTTACAAAAAAAGTTGGTCTGTTACTCAGCAAAAGGGGAAAATGATCAATAAATGTGCCGTGAAAGCTAAAGTATGTAATACCTTTTTTGTAACAGTGTTCTCTAAAAATGTTCAATATAACTTATGGCTAGCATGATACTGAAAGAAAGGTCTCAGCTGACAGTAAGGAAAGTGTCTCTGTTAACTCTTTCATGGACATCATTGCAAAGGTGTCAGATATTTTAAGTTTTTTTATCCCTAAATGTTTTATTACTAAAGAATTTCAAATTATTTTTTTTTTTAAGTCCTGGGTGCTCTGGGATCCACAATCCTCTAGACAGTCCTCATCCCTTCAGGATTTCTCAGTATTTCTATTAAGTACTTCCTCCCGTCTTCTTTGTCTCTTCCCAAATAATCCATGATGAATTTACTGTTATCTAATCCTTCTTGCTCAAACAAGCACTTCTCCCATTTTTCATCCACCTAGAAAGTTTGTCGACACTTATGTTTCCTGAATTCTTCTGTGTATATAAGCCATATTGCAGGACGAGACCCAGCAGGAGAGGGAAGATCATAACTTACAGCCCTGGCTGGCATCTTGACGGACTCTGACTTTCATAGGATGTGCCCAGCACCTTTTTTTTTCAATATGCCTGTCACCAGAAATATGATGTAGTATGCCTAGGACACAAATACATATGGAGTGCATTCCACCAGTACCACTGTCTTGACAGATTCAGTTGTACACTTACCAGAATGAACATAAATTGGAGAAGTAGCAAAGGGACATCATACAGAAAGACAGAGATGGTACCAGGTGAATATTGGTCTCAGATCCTTAGCAGGTTTGGCGTTTAGTCCAGGACATTAGAGATAGTGAAGCCACCTGTTTCCTTTGTTTAGTAGCGATGTAGCATTTTGATAGCTTTCAGAAAAATGAAGACTGACAGCTTCTGGAACAAGCATTCAGAAAGGTGTCAGAAATTATGGTGATGAAACTCCTTTGCCATTGGGTGGCAACCCTCACCTAAACAGTATCCAAGATATGATGACCTCATGTCATTAATCAGTCAAATATGTGTCCTTTAAAAATTGTCCTTTTTTTCATTCCAACCCATGCGTTGACAAGTTTTAAGGACTCTACCACCTGTCTCTTAAACTGTTAATCTTAAAGTAACCTGTCTGCCATTGTACAGTTAATCAATTTAATACAAAGTTTTGACTGGAAACAACAAAGGCTTGTGCTGTATATATGCATGCAAATAGCAGCCTTCTTCATCATGTTTGTTGATCTCTAGATTTTCTTGAGACTTTTGAAGAGGTGAAGAATCAGGAATTGGAACGAAAGGCCCAAATAGAAGCCAGCATTGTTGCACTCCTGGAGCACTCAAGCAGGGTAAGTGCATTTCCCTCCTCCTGTGGCAAGCTAGGAATTTAGAAGCACAGAACAGGAGAATGAATGGATCCAGTCAGTATCTGCGTGATAATCTCTTTAAGAGGATAAAAATGTTAAAACATGTACAGTTGTAGATAAAAATAGTTAAAAGAAAGATATATTTATTTTCTCTTTATTTCTGGGGAAATAATTTTGAATATTAGATAATAATTGTGACCAGAATAAAAGAAATGTTTGCATAATTGCTGTAAATCATTATCAGTGCTATAATGAATGTTATGTCATTCATGATAAATTTTAATTTGATAAAAATTTCAGAATACTGCAAATAAAACTACTGCAGTATTTTGTTTACATACAGTCTGCAAATCTCAGTTCATGGGTATTCTGTCACTACTGTTAAGTAACTGACAATATTCTAATCGTCTCTCTAGCTACTAAAATTATGTTTGGAATACCCTGCTTTGTAATATTTAATGTAAACACTTTAAAACTGTTCCTATTTGCAGTCTGCCATTTCTTTGCACTTTGAAAACGTTTTTTCTTTTAACATTTTTGGTTCCCATGGATTTTTTTTCTCTTATAGAAATCTTTCTGCTGAGTAGTACTTTGATTTTATCATCACTTCTGTTGTCTTCTAACTCTTTCACTATGGTATACCATAATGTATATTTTAGGCAATGACACTTAGAAGCTATCAATATGGCAACGCAGTTTATACTTGCTGCATTTTTGTTTTATTTTCACTGGCCTGTCAGTATACCTTTTATCAAAGGCTGGCAGAATGAAAATCATTCACATTTAAATCACTTCAGACTATTTCCATAATTTTCAGTCGTTGTTGTAGAAAAGCCAAGTAATAGACAATGTACTAGCACAGGAGAGTTTTTTACTTCTCCAGTTACCATTTGTTGTTTCAAAGATACAGCATGTTCTCATTATTGTTATTGGTAACACACAGAATGTGAATCGTATGAAACAAATTTCATCTGTTACCAATCAAGAACTGAAGATTATGCAGGAAGACCTCACTTTCAAATCAAATGAAATGCAGAAATCACAGAGCACTGCTAAGAATCTGATTACAGGTGAGATCAGAAATGAATTTTCAAGTTCATTACATAAAAAAATTAAATTTACCTGGGTTGTTACACTAGTAACAAGTACAAGATTAGTGATATCCAAATATTAAAATACAGTGTCAAGTTAACAAATTGAAACTCTTGTGGGTAACAAGTCAGTTGTATTCCTCAGGAGTATTTCACTTGCTATTATCAGTAAATGATCAGCTTTCTTGCGCAGTTTTATGTTAAACTGATTTATTTTAATATAGGTTAAAAAGTTCTTTCAGCTAGAAGTTTGACTTTACTAATATTCACCTTGAAATAATTTTTTTTCATAAGCTTAAAATAGTGTTTAATAAATTGGAGACTTCCACAGTTATCTAACTATGTATTACTTGCAAATGTAGTTCTTAGTATCACTTACATATGGTTTGTGCTTTCCTAAAGGGGTATGTACCATGGAAGAATAACTGACAACAACACTGAATAGCTCTCAAATTCTCAGGCTTTGATTCTGCAAAGTGAATACTAATTTTTACTTCATTTTGTAAATACTAAATACTTAATTAAGTCTAAGAATCTGCAGGATCTTGCCTGTAATTTGAAAAAGCAGGCAGTATTTTCCTTTCATTTCCATAGCAAGTATCTATTTAGTTCTTTATTTGCACTGTTTATAGTGGAATTGTTCTCATAATTCTAAGCCTTTGCCAATATCATTATTGGTTCAGCAAGCGTTTCCGTGTTTGTTTGGCTGAAAGGAAGAGGCAGGAATTAATAACCATAAATCATGGTGTTAGAAGGCTGTTACGTGCTGTACTTGGTAGTAATTTTCAAAATAGGAGCCTGTGTTGTAACTTCAAAGTAGTTATGTGCAAGTAAGTTGTTATGCACAAAATGTTACAGAAATTGATTGTTCTGTTGTGTGTTTGAACATTTAGTGTTTACTTCTCTGCAAATACTCATTTTGCAATTCTAGCGTAGTTTAAAAAGCTGGGCCATACATATCAAGTTCAAATATGACTTTTTGTTCTTTCATGTAAGCATCATTTCTTACTACTTTGCAATATAAGGATATTCTGGAAGCACATAGTGCTATAGAGATTGAATACATTGAAAGATGTATTTCTTTCTTCGCAAGGGGAGAGAAAGAAGTTACAGAACATAATTTTCAGCAGAGCATTTAAATCAATCATAAATAAACTTCTAAAAGCAAGGAGTCACATATACTGTAATAAACAACTTAAGATTCTTTCAAAAATACAGTGAATGTTCAGTTTGCACAGCTGAAGTTCTTCCTGACCCTAGAATTACAGCATAGTCATCTTCAGGATTCTTTTGTTGATTAAAATCTGGATTTCCATATTTTCTTGATGTAACAAAGATATAAAAAGTCCGCCAGCAGAACCCTTAAAAAAATTGAAAAAAAAAGGAAAAAAAAAGGAAAGGAAACCATGAAGAGTAAACAAAAGTGCTGATGGCATAGTTTCCCAAAAACATTTCCCTGGGTCACTGTAGTTTGGTCTGACAGTTTGCTACTGTGTACACACTGCCTGCTAGACACTGCAACTTCATGGCGTATCAGAAGGAACTGGGCTGCATCCTCTTCCTGTCTCTTCCCCTAGAGAAGTTTTGAGGCTTTTTAGTTTTGAGTTTTTTTCATTGAGGCTGTTGCTGGATAAGGATAAAAGTCACCCCTTCCAGTTTCTTCCCTTTTCTCCAGAAAGCATCAATGAATAGGAATAGCGCATTGCTGTCTCACTAATTTTTATCAGTATATAGATAGAATAGTCTAAGAATCCTGTCTGGCTTTTTGGCATTTATGTTGTTATTACTCTTTACATGTAAAATAAATACCAATTAGTCAACTATGTAGTATTTTAAAATTAAAAAATATAAGTATTAGAACAACTATAAAAAAACGAACCTGCTGTGACTAGGCCTAAATAAATTCTTAAGAAAATCTGAAGTTGTTTTCTGCTATTTCTCTCCAATTTGAATTATTTTTATTTTATAACTTCATTTTTTACTGGTTTTGATGTTAAAACCCTGATTTATTGAGGTCCTTAAACATTTGTCTGTCTTTAAACTGCAGTACCATAGGAACAAAAGAAGTAGAGCTGTGGTCTGTTCAGTCGTGTTTTAGGGTCTGACATTGACCAATTCCAGGAACTTTGAAGTGGAATTATGGACAGTTATTAAGTATTCTAGACACAGGGAAAGTGTTTTCTTAAGCCCTTTAGGGTGGAAGGCAGGATAAACATTGAATGACAGATAGGCAATGCAGTTCCAAACCTTTCGTTTTTAAACCCTTCTTTTTACTGGTCTGGAAATTTTTTGTATTTACATAAACACTCTTTGCACATACAGGACCCTTTCAATCTTTCTTTATGCAAGTATGTTCCTCAAGATAATTACATATTGTACACAAAAATCTTGTCTTTTTTTTATTTTAAGGTTCCTAAAGAAGTCACTAAAGCAGTCTGTAACAAGCCAGAAATACTGATTAAAGCAAATATTTCACTCTAAAAAATGAGTGTATGGCATAAATGCACAAGAGGAAGGATGAGTACCAAAGTTTGCTATGACAGGGTGAGATTTTCCCAAATAATTCCACTAAGGAAACCATATCCACAGTTTTTGGAAATGTGAACTCATCCTCTGTCACATATGCACTCCTTTCTGCCATAAAGATCTATAGTGCCTTGGTTAAATTGGGGGGAATATTTCCTACCCTTTTTCCAGGTGATCAGCACAAATCTGAGTGTGTGAGCAAAATATACAGTCTATGCCAAGAGAAGTTTTTTTGTGCCATCTCATCCCTCCCAATAGCCCATGTTGCCTGATATTTTAGAATGTAGAAAAAGGCTCTGCTTTATTTGTATCATTCTTCTGAGTTAGACACAGCTCTGAAACATGAGATTGTGTAGCCATGTGTTTAAATGTTCAGGAACATGAAGAAAATACAATGACAAGGCTGCAGGTCAGAAAACCATCCAAAACAAGTCTAGCCGCATCTAGTCCTTCCACACTCAGAGTGGATAACTTATCCCCAAAACTGGATCAAAGTATGGTTTTTATTTTGTGTATCTTTATTGTGTGTTCTCTTAAGCATCTCCTGTCTCAACAGTTTCAGTCTTTACATCTTTCTTCATTTAAGAATCCATCCATACTTCTATCTCCTTTAATTACTTGTGTCTCTGTTGTTTATTTTTAATGGATTGACAGAAGTAAATGCTGTATATCGTAGCACATGCTCATTTTGTATGCTATGACAGTTCTTATTCTGTGGAGATATGGAAGTGTTTTCCTGTACAGAGTGAATGGTTAAAACAGATTTGTCTATTTAGTCGCGTAAAACTAAGTCTTATCAAATACAAGCAACACAAATAAAAATAACATGATGCTAAAAAACTAACAAAAATAATTTTTTTAATTGCATTATTGCAGTCAACTTTTTGTAAGGTATCACCACTGCTTTAAGATTTGAAATCAACTGATGCTATAAACAATTTTAACAATAGAGATATCACACAGTGATATAGAAAATCACCACGTTTTCATTACTGTTTACTTACAGAGTATAGTACGGTAATTGCAGTATAGGAGTCTGACTTATGGGATGATTGAGAAAATGATTTTTTTTTCTTTCATTCTTGTTTCCATGAATATCAAAATCAGAAAGGTATGCAGGAGCTGTTTGTATTGCTTAAGTATAGCATAAGCCTTTATGTACTGGGCAATTTATTATGAAATAAAAAGTACTGTTAATTAGAGATAGTGTGTCTGGTGATCTAGAGAGTCAAAAACTGCAGATGGACCTACAGAAGATGGAACTCTTGGAGGGCAAGATGGTGGATGAACTGTCTTCTCTTAAAGACAAAATTGAACAAACAAAAATGGAGTTGGAGGTCTATAATAATTTGCCAGCTCTGAAAGCATCAGGAGAAGAAAAGAAAAAGGTAATGAAAGCACTGAAACCTTGGATTATACAGAATTTATGTGGTTTTGGGCACCTAGTGGAGGGGAATCCAAGTATATGTCTGGGAATCATGACCAATAGCTGAAAACTGGGCTTGCACACCAGTGCAAATGAATCCAAATGCTTCTCTGCTTATACACGTGACTTATTAACTGTGTACATGTAGCAGGCTATGAGCTGGATACCTTTTGATAACTTTCTTCCAAAAAATTTCCCATTTGTTTTAGTGGTTCATCTGAACTGTTCTGCTGTAACTTATGTCTATGTGTAAGTTTGAATTTATCAATCTAACTGCAGAACCCAAACAAAAAAGAAAAATCTATCCTGCGTGTATTTGCTCTGAGACAAACTCTATCTAGAGCACTTGCCATTTCACATGTGAGAAATTTCCCACAAATTCCTAACATCAGCTTTCCCACTTGTGCTGATATGGTATGGTCTAAGCCTAGAACTTGGTCATAACGTTTGACTATTATCTTTAGGATAGAGTGTGCGTTGCTAGAGAAAAGCCTTATGAGTTCTTTATGCATATGATCTTGTTCTGAAAGGGAGAAAAATTAACCTCTCGAAAGCCGAACTAAAATAATTTGTCTGTGACCCACAGCAAATGAACTCGTCCCCTAATGGGTTTGTTTTGGTTTTTTCCCAACTAGAGACTCCAGGATGACAAAGAAAAATTAACAAAACGTAGCCATGCTTTCAAGAAAATAATGGAACACTTGAATATGAAGTATGAGACCCTAAAAAGAGAGCTGCAAGAGAATGAGACGCATTCTCAGGTATAGCTCAAGCTACATATTACCTCTTCAGTTGTTTCTATTGCAGTTTCAGTTTTCTCATGCACATGAAGCGTTGTATGGACGGAGTCAGTTTGTTGCTTCTCAGGGAGTTTTCAAAGTTGTGTGTTGTAAATATGTAGCTGTATTTTCTGTTTTCAAACAAAACTTAATATTGTGCCAATAAATTTCTTGTAAGCCTTGGATTTCAAAGTTACTAGGCAGAGGTCTTTCTGAAATTAAAAATTATGTGAATCCTTTGTTTAAGTGTTTGTATTAATCTAGCTCAGAACTCTCCCCTTTTTCCCCTTCCATTACTTGAGGAGTTTTGAGGATCAATTTAGAAAGAAACTACAGGGAAAAAAAGTCACTACTAATTAAATAAGATTGCTTTTGCTTTTAAAGTTGTGGTGGTGTTTTCTTGCAACCTGTACTATTCATTCCATTTCCCTTTTTCCAGTCCTTCACCTCCTTGCAGACCACAGCAGTTTTAGGGTTTATTCAGACTTCTCTAAACCCAAGGAACTTTGGTATATGAGTATATTTACATTTACATTTCAAAACTGAATCAGGAAAGATGTTTATAAGCTCTTGAGCAGCTTTGATTCTTGCGTTATAAGCACTCATAAACTGCTGTAATTTTGGCAACAGACATTTATTGGCAAATAGGTTTGAATGCACAGAAGGAAAATGGATAACCTCAAAATAAGCTGAAAAATTGAAATTTATTCTTTCTCTGCATTTCACTGATTTTTGTTGGTTTATGTTGTTGAGATATTTGTGCTTTAGAACTGGTACTTTTTTCTAATTAACTTAAAAGCTGAAGGTGAAATTTGTGTTTAAGTTAACATTTTTCTAGAGCAAACTTTATGGAGCAGATGAGAGGGCGTAGCTCTAAATGTGGAGGTGTATGTATACATTCGTAGCGTGTGATTATTGTGGGCTAACTCTAGGGTGAGGATATAAATCCCCAAAGCTGCATGCCAAAGTCTGCAAGACTTCAGATATTGTGTATTTTTTATGCCAATATCAGATTCTTATTCCTGGAGATTATGTAAACTGGAAATAGATACCCAGCCAGTGTTGAGATACTTGCATAATGATGCTAAAAATTTATATAAAATAGTAGTTTTACAACATTTCTTCAGTTCATTAAGCTGTGGCTGTTCTATTTCAGTGTGTGCAAAAAGGATTTGTTTCTTTGCTTTTTATGTCATCAGTGTAAATGTCATGAAGGTGATTAAAGGTGTATCTTAAAATAGCTGATTAGTTGACATTCATCAAGCATTTTGAAGTACAAATAGCATTTATGTATCTTGAGAGTCTGGGTGATTTTGCAAGCAGTTGACTGTATGGGTTGTGGCCTTCAAGCAGTTACTATAAAAATGTGCTGAATATGTCCTTTGTTATATTTCAGACAGTATTTTAAACGTAGTCACCTTTACCGGCTGTATTGCATGTAGCAACATCTACAAAGGGGGCAATAAAAATGATAATTGGTCAGAAATACCCTATCTTGGAAATAAATGACTGCCATATTTGCTGTGAACCAGTATACTAGATAACTGGTTCTTCACTGTGAGATTTATTTTAAGTAATCTAGCAACTATTTTCATGTCTTCTAGCTGAAGAATAAGCTTTTGAGTAAAATGTTGCAATATTTTCCTAATTTATTACTTTAGCTTCCACTGAAAGTTTAGTCTTAGAATGATTTTCAGGTTTTGCATTTAAAAATAACATCTGCATATCTTGAAATGCAGAACCTTGAACAGTAGCATCAGAAAAACAAATATAAAATTGTATTGTAAGGAAGCAGCCATCGATATAATGTCCACATTAGTTTCCTGTTGATGCTGAAAGTATTGAAGAAGTGCCAGCACTTAGTCCACACTCCTACAATCTTCTTGCTGCAGCTCTGTTCTTATCACAGCTTCTGGCATCAGACAGGAAACTTAACTATGGAAGTAAGGAAGTTTCTTCTGTATATCTCAAAGTCCAAGACAGTGTCAGGAAATATTGTATCTTTGGTGATTTTAGATCTTATTGATTTTAAGAAGAGATCATTTAAATGATATGAAGTATAATGAGAATTAGTATTTCCCTGCAGCATTCCCCTTTTTACTTCTGACTTGCTTACACATTTGCCTACATGACAAGTCCTGAATTCTCATCTGATTTTTTCGGTCTGCCACTGCCGTTGCATGCAGTTCTTTTATGTAAATAGATGCATGAAGTGCTAAATTATATACAGGTTAATCATTGGCAGCTTTAAAAATAATTTAGCTATTGTTTCTTATTTCTGTGGGGTTTTTGCACAGTAAGTTTAGTTTATTGGGTGATAGAGCACAAGGAATTGATACATTTTTGAGAAATTCTTTGTACAAAATACACATGTAACAATCATCATTTTCATTTTTGGCTCTTTTTGTGTTTTCAGCTTACAAATTTGGAGAGGAAGTGGCAGCACCATGAGCAAAATAACTTTATGATGAAGGAATGTATCCTTTTCTTTAAGAAATACAGTAAAATTCATGCACTGTATTAATTGAGGAAGAAGTCTGTTTCCTCCAGCAGAGTAAGACAGGACAGAATGGGGAGCAGGAGACAGGGGAGGAGGGGAAAGGCAATGCTTTGCAAATGTCTGGTTGGATGATAAATATTATGTATAGCAAAACTTGCACGTGTTGTCTGAAACAATTTTGCGGGGTCCTGAAGCATAAGATTCATCTTGCAGTCTGGAGTTTTTCCTGTTGAGTCAGTTTTGCCATTAGGTTTCATATGAAGGTCATCTTCACATCTGTCCAGTCTTACCTGAAATTACCCAGCAAGTGTAGTATTGTTTGAAATCTGTATAGCATGGTGACATTGAAAGGTATTTTTCACTTTTAAAACACCGTAAATACCATTGATTAAAAAGTAAACAACAAATTGTATACATTTAATGTATTTCTCATCAAATAAAAGAGGGAAAGAAATCAGATAAATGTGGTAAGATATGACCCCATGCTTTAGCTGCAAAATGGGCTGGGATGGGGGAAATGCATTGTAGTTCTCTCGTTATGTGATGCTAATTAAGAGTTACATTCTACTAATCATGTAAGACTTTCCAAAATATCAGCAAAATCTTATTTGCTGCAGGTGACTTTCGTAAGGTAGATTTTGAAATTAGCCAAAGCACTGAAGTTTTTTTAGTTAGAATTCATGGTTGTTCTTACCTTGTTCTATTCTCCATAGTTATTGTAGAGATCTGAGTACAACATAATTGCACTTTTTTTTTTATATTCTAGAGACTTTGAGTTCACTTATTTAAAATTATTTAGGAAAGAAAAAATCTGAAATCTCAAAGATGCATAGAATCACTGTTATGTGATTATAGTACAAATGTGGTTGGTAAAAGTAACAGCAAAACTAGACCATGTCATCCAGCGTTGTGTGTTGGACAATGGACATTGCTACATGTCTCAGAAAAAGTCCCAAGAATATATTTCAGACAATTCTGTAATAGCCTAGCCATTAGGAAAAAAAAAAGTAGAAAAAAAAAAAACAGAAAAAAAAAAAGTATGATCTGCATATAGCATTATCTTCTTCATATACCAAATACCTCATTTTTGTATCTGATAAATGCTCTAATTCTTAGAAAAAATCTGAAAAAAGTCTTGGACAACATAGTGTAATTTGAGCCACCTCCTCTATGAGGAAGGCTCTGTAGGAATATTTTAAGGCAAGAATCTTAGATCCTATTTTTTCTAACAGAGAATAGTCTAAAACAAACCAAGAGAAAAACTTGATCAGGATATTAAAAGTGCCTCCTAACTTCTTACTGTGTATTACCTATCCAAGTGCAGACCCTTATACAGAGCTTTGTGTCTGCTTGGGCTAGTGGAAAGAAAGGGCCTGCTTTCTTCTGCTGGAGTTTTTGTAGCCAGAGTTCCAAAGTGCCAAACTGTATGGCTGTAAATAGCCGAGTGCCTTGAAATGGTTTTGTTTGTGATGTAACAATGGGCAGAGTCTTCCACGAGGGACCTATTGCCTACATATATGAAAAGAAAACTGACTCGGGAGTGTAATCTCTTTTTTTTCTTTTACCATGCTTGGCATGAGATGGCAGCTAGTAAATTGGTGTAAACCTTTTAGACCAAATTTGAGTTTTTTCCAGTATTTGCAACCTTCGACAGTTTTCACAGAAGGAAACTTACTGTATTGTGGTTCCTTTATGGTCTCTAATCATGCTAATATTTATACTGGCAGTTTATTTCCTTAATTCCTTTAATCAGTCATAGCAACAAAAAGTCAGGAGAGTGACTACCAGCCAATAATGAAGAACGTGAGAAAGCTGGTCACAGAATACAACAAAGCTCTCATAGAAGCTTTACAGAACACCAAGAACTGAACCCAGGCACTTCCTTCCTGCCCCAATGGACCAACAATGAGGATGTGCACAGGCAGCATGGAAAACTGAACTACTGATCTTATTCACTTACCGCTACAGTGACAGATATTCTTAAAAGTATGTTTCCAGGTTTTTAGAAATCACAGGTTTTAATAATATACCTCCTTTTGCAACATTTAAAAATTTTAGAAATAAACTTCTGAGTTTTAGAAACTTGTAGAAATAAAAAGGAAATACTGCACAATGAGTGTAAAAATCATCAGAACATTTTGCTGGTGTCCATTGCTGGTTTGCATCTCAAAAGTGAAACTTCAGTCTGCTTTACACAATGAATCTCTAATTGTCTTGTAGTCTTATCCATGCCAAACAGAACAGGAGTTTTCTCTGAACAAGGACTGCCTGACAGGCTCTCACATGCATTATCTTAAATGAATTGTGTAAGATAAATGGTAATATCAGCATACCATCCCTATTTAAATAGCAATTTATAACAAGTAAGGAAAACATCCAAGGATGACAAGCATCCTTTTAATTCAGAATTGCTTCATAGTATAAAGTCTTATAATAAAAGCAAATGTACTTTGAATCTGTCAGCAAATATTCATTTCCCAATGGAGAACTGATTCACTTCCTTATTTTAGATTTTTTTAATATAATTAGAAGGAGAGATAAAAAGTAGTGAAAAATAGCTAATACTGAGCTTGTGCAGAGCATTTTACTTTTGTAGTATTCACCAATAAAGGAAATAACAGGGAAAATTATTTGTATTATTTTCTGCAATTTTTTTCCCCTCAGGTTTCAAGCTGCCCTGACATAGCAACCTGTACTTTGGTAAAAATACATAGAAAGAGATTCAGCGTAGAACAAAACCAGGACTGATATAGAAATAACAATGTGCTTTATGATACAGAAATTTCAGAAAATGTTTACGTGAAACAAAATCTCCTTGTATGTATTTCCCCCACATTCTACATGTAATGTAATTATAAACTACCTATTGATAATTTCCTCCACCTGGTATGTTGTAAGATAGTCCTGATCAAAGAGAAAAAAGCTCAGTTGACTATAGATAGGAATTTTAGCCAGACATTAATCTAGCCTTTTACAAAAAATAATAAAAACGAGCAAGGTCAGGATTTATAGTTGTTCTCTCTTAGAAAAGTTTTCACAAAAAGAAGTAGACTATATGCTTTACTTTATAGAACTGGAGTAGACAAAGAATTAGAAAATGTGCTGAGTCCATTAAAATGGAAGTTCTGTATTTTTGTCACTAAATTTCTCCAAATCTGTGATAGTCATTTTGAGTATAGTATGTAAAACAAAACTATTGAAGATTCTTGAAGAGACCACCATGTTTCCAAATTCAGCACATTAGATGTTGTTGTTCTGTATATTTATGTCTCTATAATATTTAGAGATAATAGAACAGGATTTCTATAAACCAAGGACTGTTATCTAGGGGAAATTCCCACTAATGTCTCTTCCTTCCTGTCAAAGTTTCAGCTATTCCAGAGAAAGCCCATTATTTGCTGAGATAAAGTTGAAGTCTAATATTCTCACCAATCAAACCATCAGCCAGAGAGATCACCTCAATTCCACGTGTGCTACAATAACATATAATAATGAACAATGGGAAAAAACCTGCAGACTCAATAAACAGACTACTTTAAATTCACTTTCACTCAGAGCAGGGGATGGTTTTATTCTGTGGTAGAGATTCTGTAAGACAGCATGGTAAAGTTTGCAGGTTTTTGTTGTGTTCCCCAGGAGATGCCTGTCATAAAAGCCTTCCTCTCTCCAGCATGTTGTTAATTTTCTTGTTCTTTTGAAGGATCACCGTATTACCTCTTTCTGTCTGAGAATCTTGTCAATCATTCCTTCTTTTAACAGTTCATCCTTATGGTCCCGGATCATAGTCATAGTACGCATGGCTGAAAAGAACTGTATGGATTCTAAATGGTGAGCTACGCGGCAGGCGTTTAATCTCCTTCTGGGAGATTAATAACTCATTCCCAGTAGTAAGCTGAGTAAATTGTATCCATATCTATCATATCTAAAGTCTCAGTGAAAATAACCTTTTCTTTAACTCTTTTTATCTTTGTTTTTTTTAATACAATTTTAATTACCAGACACATAGCATTTTTTTACCAAAGCTCCTGTGTGTATATCAAGACACTAATTCAGTAACACAGATCTCTCTACTGAGGCAATCTTTTACCCTCTTTACACTATGACTTCAAACTGAGAGGACATTAATTAACTGGCAGCACCTATGGGGTGGAGAAATTTAAAACCATTTCTGCTCACCTGTCTCACCAGGGCTGAGTAGAGGTAAGGATCACCTCCCTCAGCCTGCTGGCCATGCTCTTCCTAACACACCCCAGCAGACTGTTGGCCTTTTTTGCCATGCAGTATTGGCTTTTGGTCAGCTCGGTGTTCACCACAAATGACCCTGAGATCCTTCTTTCTGTGTTGTGAAGAAGAATCCTTCTTCTTTCCAGCCACTCAGCCCCCAGTGTGTATGGGTACCTGGGTTGTTCCCCCACGGGGGCAAGACTGTGCATTTATCTTTGTGGAACTTCATGAGGTTCCTGTCTGTCCGTTTCTTCAGCCTGTTGAGGTCCCTCTGGACAGTGGCGCACCTGTCTGGTGCATCAGCCACTCCTCCCAGCTTTGTATCGTCTGCAAACTTGTTGAGGGTGTGCTCTGACCCATCATCCAGGTCATTAGTGAAAAAGTTAAACAGTGTTGGCATGAATATCCACCCCTGGGGTACATCTCTACTGACTGGCCTCCAGCTGGATTAGGCCACAGATCACACAGTAAGCCCCAAGCCAGTTTTCAGTCCACCTAACTGTCCACGTACTTTGTCAGCTTATCTATCAGGATTTTGTGGGAAACCATGTTCAACGCCTTGCTAGTGTTGAGGCAAACAACATCTGCACCTCTCTCCTTGCTCACTGAGTTAGTTACCCCATTGTGGAAGGCTATCACGTTAGTTAAGCATAATTTCCCTTTCATAAATCCACGCTAGCAACTCACGACCAACTTCCCATCCTTCATGTGTCTGGAAATGGTTTCCAGCATAAGTTGCTCCATCTCTTTCTCAGGGATCAAGGTGAGGCTGACTGGCCTGTAGTTCCCTGACTTGCTCTTCTTCAAGATAAAGAGTGACATTTGCTTCCTTTCAGTCTTCAGAAGCCTCTCCCTGTCACCATGGAAAAAAAAAAGATAATTGAGAATGGCCTCACAATGCAATCAGCCAGCTCCCTCTGCACATGTGGGTGCACCCCAACAAGTCCCATGGACTAACGAATGTCCAGTTTGTTTAAGAGTTCCCTAACCTAGTCCTCCTCCAGGAAGATGACACTGAGGCATTAGAATACCAGGTTTGACAGTGTCTGTCTCCAAATCCCACCTTGCTGGCACACTGCATGGAAACAAGCCTTTCAATTTCAAAATCTTTAACCAAAGGGTCTGTTATTTCCATTTTAAGTTTGTGCTTTGCCTGAGGATAAGCGTAGGAATGACTGTCATTGTTCCCAGCTCATGATGGGATGTCACTGCACCAACCTTGTTAGATATCATCGTAACTCCAGGTAAACTGTATTTTTGCTGCAGGCAAAATGTTGGTCTCCCTGCTTCATCTTTCCTTTACTGCTTTTCATTGTAATTAAAAAGATCCCTCATTTTTCTTTCAAGATTGATTTTTTTCCTTGCATTAGTGAGCTTAGAAGACAACATACAGCATTCCTGTGAGCAATTCCAGACAGGCAGAACACTGAGATTCTTTTTTAGTTCTTTCTGCCTGATGACATTAGTTAATATTAATGCTTCTTAGTGCTTGTATATGCTGTTTCAGAATTGAGGGATACATTTCCAAAGTGAAGTGGTTATAAAGTCTTTCAGTACACTTCTATTTTGAAGTTGCAAGTATAAAACAAAAATACAAGGCATAAGGCAGACTTTATGATTAGACACTAGCTGTAAGAACATCTTAGTTTTAGGAGAAAGGTATTAAAATGCTTACTTTATAACTATTCTGTAAAGTATCTGCTTTGAGAGAACTCCTTGGAAACATGTCTCATAGTGATAAGGCACCTGGGTGGTGCAAGTGTGGCAATTGTCTGGAGTGAAAAAAACCCCCTCGGATTCTGAAAGAGATCATAAAATCAGAATTCACTTGAACACGTGCACAACTGTGAGTACTAGCTGAACACAATATATATTGTAGGTGACAACTTCAGCCAAAGCAATGCTGTGAAATGCAGGTTAATCACTGGGAAGGGGAGCTGAATTACTCCTAAACAAAGTAGCTGTCATCTTTTCCCTCTTCGGTAAAGAGGAAGGAAGCCTTTAATCACTTAATAACTGCAGAGATTATCTGAATTCAAATCCCAGCTTTGATCAATCATTCCTTGAAACTGGCAGAATAGAGTAGAGGAAGAAATGTTCCTTGCCCTGACTTGCAGTCTACACTTGCAGCTTCTCCTTTCAGGAAGGAGGACTAACTGGACAATATGCCAAATGTGCGAAATGGAGGAAGCCTCCCACATTTAAAAAAGAAATGGGCCAAAAATGTAAAATGATCCTCTCTTGTTTCCTCTTGTAAAGCTAATTCCTTGAAAGCTACGTTCATTTAAAGTCACTGAGCTTGATTCACTGAGCACTGGTATCTTTGGATCGGGCCTAAGATTTCTGCTGTGCAGCGAAGGATGAGTAAGGTGGAAGACCTCTGTATCCAACACACAACACAAAGTTGCCCACAAATATGGTTTCAAGTGGGGTGAAGTGGACTCAGCACCTCTGAAAATTAGTAAGAAAAAGAAAATAATGATTATAGCAGAACTTAGTAGTAATATCAGTCACTCCAACAGTTATGCATGAGAGACAAAATTCCAAATAAAGCCTTCAATTTTTCAGTATCCTCCCTGTTCCTTCTTTTTCTTCCAAATTAAATGGAAAGAACGTGTTTAATGGCTTGGATCCTCCCTTTTCCTACTTCCAAATTAAATGACAGAAGGTGTTTAATGGCTTGGACTTGTGTTCAAGTTTGCTATATTTAATAACTTCTTAGGATTATTGAGTTGAAAGTTACTGATGTTCTTTAGCTATATGCAAATCTACATTTTAACTTCTCACCTTAAGATGAGATGTGCATGTCTTCACATTTCTGTATTTCAAGAATTGCTGAAATCGTATTGTTCAAACTCTCAAAAAAATTTACCATTTAGAAATCTTTCTTTCACACAGAGAGAAATCTGAAGTTAAAGCTGAAGCGTTCAAGAGAAGGAACTGTTACATGGCACTCACCACCACTGTGCATGTGGCTCTCCTATATCAGTAC